GGTGTCTGAAATCCCCCTAGTGCATGATGGGATCAGGGTGGTAAAGGAGAGAATAGTGTCTGAACACAAAAGTTACTTGTCTTTCCTAGGAGGCCTGATATTTTCCAGAGCTTTTGAAAAGTATGTACTCCATACTTCCATCAGTTCAGAACTTGGCCTTGAGTTCCTGTGTGGAAATAAGTAGTCTTGTTTTAATGCTACCTCTTCAGCCTCTGGCAAGCAAGAAACGTCTAATAGTAGAGCTTGGGAAAGAGCTAAAAATAGAACTGGGGGAAACAAGCATACCTCGCGCAGAGTTAGATCCGTCCTGATTGAGAGGAGGCCTTACCATACAGGTACCTCATATGGGCTCAGGTTCAGCATCAATGTAATACAAAAATACAATCAAGAACCAAAGTGAACGTGAAGGAGAGCAATTGGGAATTCCTAAACTGTAGGTTGATTTGGGGTGCGGGGCACGGCAGTATAGAGATTGAATCTATGGCATCATGTGTCCAGAATTCAGTTGTACTTTACTAACTGAACCACTCCCCCCTTGCCCATGCTAAGTTTTTATTTTATATCAAAATTGGCTACTGTGCCGAAATGAGCCTTGTTTTGGCTTCTCCTTTATCATCTCCACCACTTGGAAATCTTTTTCTCCAGATGTGAACTTGCCCATGCTAAGTTTTTATTTTATATCAAAATTGGCTACTGTGCCAAAATGAGCCTAGTTTCGGCTTCTCCTTTATCATCTCCACCACTTGGAAATCTTTTTCTCCAGATGTGATAGTATGTCATACAGGAAACTGTGAGACATTTACCTGTTCAAAAGAAACCTAGCAAACTGTTTGAAGCTGAGGATCAGTGCACCTCCAGTGCCTGGAAGAGAGAGGGGAAAATCAAGAGGTGGTGAGCACAGAAAGCCAACCACGGTGGGAGAGCTGGGAAATGCCTCCCTCTGTGGAAAGGATATTTGGGTCTTCATGGATCAGGACCAAGGAAAAGCAACAGAGAATAGGGTTTATGTTTTATTTCTTGGTGTGGATAGGAGGAGGTATGTTCCTAAAGATCTATTCCTTTGCAAAAATAAGATTATGTCACCAGAAATAAAACCAATGCCTAGAACTATACTATTTGATTTTGAAGCAAGGGTAATGGGGGGAATTTTTTTAGTATGATTTTTCTCTGTTCAATTTTTCTCTCTTTCATTTCCTCCCCTTCCTCCCTCCCTCCCTCCATTCCTTTCTTTCTTCCTTTAGGAGTGTCTACTGCATTCCATGTTCTGGCTAAGACAGAAAGACTACACAACATGAGTGATCTCTTTATTGGTTTATTGTGAACTTTAAGAGTTATTACAGTATCTTAGATTTACAGCTGTAAAACCATCTAAACTTTCTAAGCATGTCTAAGTACCTTAAAGAGCCACTTTGTAATTCACATCTTCAAGGCTGAACCCAGTGCTAATGACTCTCTGTCACCATCTAGAGGCAGTTTGTGAATATTGCAGGCCCAGTTCATAGAGAATGGAATATAGTCATCCCAAAAGTTATGGCTTTTTGCAAATGTTTGTATACCAGCCCTGCAGAAGAGATTGGACATTATCATCTATAAAAGAATAAAATTGTAATTTTAATAGATAGATCTATGGCAGTGTAAGAAATGAGTCCCAGAAAAATGGATCAAATTATGGAGGACTGAGGTCTAGTGTCCAACGGAAGAGCTGAGCGTGAAGAGATGAACCACCCACATTAGGTCTGTGAGGAGGATGAAAATCTTCAGAAGATAGGCACTCAACTAATATGTGTACTGTTGAATGAGAGGCTATGTGTCGCCATACCGATGGAAAAAAATATCAGAGTAGGATTAGGATCTCCAGTAGCCATTCACACTTTTACACGGGCACCTCCACCCTCACCCACATCCTGGGAACATCTGGAAGTCTCACAACAGTCTGTCCTAAAAGTGTAGGGGTTGGGGGGGTGTTGATCATCAACTTGACACAATGTAGAATCACCTAGGAGACAAACCTCTGGGCATGTTTTTGATGGAGTTTCTAGATTGGATTAACTGAGGTGAAGAGACCCATCCTAAGAGAGGGTGGGACTGTTCTATGGGCTAGATCTCAGGCTGAATAAAAAGGGGAGTGTGAGCTAAACACCAGCATCATCTCTATCTGCTTCCTAATTGTGGACACAATGTAGCCAGCTGCCTGATCTTCCCAGCAATGATGGAAGGTATCCCCTCTAACCTTGAGCCATTTAAGTTGCTTTTGTAACAGTAACTAATACAGGGTACTACTGGCACCTGGTGGGTAGAAGCCAGAGAGCTAAACCCCTAGGTTTATAATGCTTGGGAAAGCCCTCATCATAAAGAATTATCCAGATCCAAATGCCAGATGTGCTGAGGTTGAGAATCTAGCATAGAGTATATGTAAAAGCCCTTTTCTTGGATTCTGGCCCTGAACTTAGCAACAAAAAGATGACTGCCATAGGAGGACAGGTGACTTCTTGCAAATGCCTCTTAGCAGGTGGAGGAACACTAGTTGGGGGCATGGCTGAATGTGGACAAACCATTTAACCCTCCAGTTTCCCTTGGCGTTTGTTTGATGTGACTTACAGTGTTGTTGACCCCAGTCTCCTTCTCCAGTTTGTTGCCTGGTAACACGCCTAAGCATTACTCTTACTGTATGCCTATGATGTACAGTGTCCTCTAGTGTCCAGTTCTTCCCTGATATGATGTAAATCACTTTAGTCACCCTTGCCACAATTTCCTGGATGTGCATCTTTGAGCTGTACACCCAGTGGATCCAGGCTCAGCATCACAGGAAATTCTGAGGCACATATAAGTTTCTCATAGCGTAGAAGAAGCAATAGAAATATGCTCTGTTCTTACTTTAAAAGCCCACTTAAGAAGTGTTTAGAAAAATACACTTAATCCTCAGGTTATTCTTTTTGATCTATTGTGCTGATTCCTCTTTAACAGATTATAACATGGAAGCCCCTAGAGCTTAAGTAGGTCAATTAGGAAAACCCAAGTTATTATTGAACAGTGATTTTTTTTTTTTTCCCCTCTCTGTGAAGCTGTCCCTCATCCCATCAGGCAGATGGATGCTACGTTCTGCCTCTCAGCCCTGGGTTTTCCCATTCACTGTTCCAGTCAACGAAACAGACTCCGTATAGTGACCCATCACTCATTCTAAGATTGCCGTGGACCTCATTTAAACCATCTCCGCGTGCAGAGAACTGAGCAGGGGGCTATCTCCTTTCATTGCCATCCTTGCTCTAAAACTCCGTCACTGCTCACCTCGATGCTGGCAACAGAAGCCTAACTTGTTCCTCTCTGGCCCTGCCTCAGGACTGCAGGTCTGTCTCCACACTCAGCAAGATTTACTTCAGGTGTTCTTTAGATGCTGTGCCTACATATACACAAGCACACATTCACTGAGATCTAACAGCAGGCTTTATGCTGTTCCTCTCTGGCCCTGCCTCAGGACTGCAGGTCTGTCTCCACACTCAGCAAGATTTACTTCAGGTGTTCTTTAGATGCTGTGCCTACATATACACAAGCACACATTCACTGAGATCTAACAGCAGGCTTTATGCCTAGCCCACCCTACAAGGGCCTTCTCACTCAGCAACCTGCTGTCTTAGTCTCTGTCTTTGGCCTGTAACTCTTCCATCCTGGCAAGCATGTTTCTTGCTTCAGGCTCCTCCTGTTTCAAACTATTTGATTATGCTGTGAGCCCTCTCATAGCAGATTGGATACCTAGTCCCCTCTTCCTTACTGGGTTTGGCCCTCATTTTCAATGACATCTAAGAGATATCAGATGTCAGATAGTCTCCCCCCAAGCCCCCAATTAAATTATTTTCTTACCTTTCTACTTTAGTTAGGAGTCTATTAAATGTTATTATTGATATCTGTGGTCATTATGGTTCTGTTACTGTTTACAGCTGAGTTACTCTGTGAAGGTCTTTCCCACTACCCTATTTAAAGTATTTTGTTCCTCACTGCAAACTGTAGGGACCAAAACATAAATTCCTTGAGACACTGAGACTCTGAGACAGCACATGCACAGGGCAAGCTGTTTTTCTTAGGGCTGGTATGGGGAGGTTTGGATGTCTGGGGGCAAGATTCAACTTGTTGGAGAGAGAGAACCTGGGGAAGACCACCTCAGTGCGGGTGGCAGGGCGTGAGTCACACAGTGGGGCCATGACAGACTCACTGTTTAGCCTTCAAACTGCTCTAGATACGTGGGCTATTGGCAGGAGTCTGGGTAGGAAGGTGATCTTGAGCGCATCCAAGCCTCAATTTGCATACCTTTATCAAAGGTTCATGATTCCCACCTGGTCAGGACAGGGCAAAGGAGATTCCGCAAATCAGATAAAGCTGATGCTAATGCGTAGACCCTTGTCCAGAGAGCCCTGGCTTTCTTCACGCTGTCCTCGGACTAGTCCAGAGGTCACGCCTCTTACCTGAGCCTCCCACTTCAGCTCACCCCTTTGTGCGCTTTGGTTAGGACCTTGGTGGACCCAAGGCGCTGCTCTCCCTCTCCCGGTTGGGCCGTCTGTCCCTCCCTCCCCCTCCATCCTACCCGGCCTCCCCGCCCCCTCCCCTCCTCCCTCGGAGCCCAGGCCCGGGAATCCCACGCCCTTTGCAGCACGGGAGCTGGAGGAGCCCGGGGAAGCCGCGGGTCGCCAATCACTGCGCGGTGGAGAGGCGGGCGCTCGGCTCCGGCGCGCTAGGGGAGCCAGCTGGCGCTGCACGGCCGGGAGCCGCAGAAGATCACCCCGTTACCGACACGCGCGCGAGCCGGCGGCGGGGCAGCGACACAGCCTCCCAGCCCCCGACGCCGCAGCCCGGGCTGGGGGAGCACCCCCTGCATCCCCCGAGCGCCGCAGACCCGCGCAGCCCGAGCAAGGGACTGACTCCAGGGCTCCCGCGCTGCCATGTGAGCCGCGGCGGCCACTCGCACCTGGGGCTCCGCGGCCCCCGGGGACGATGCGTGGGGCCCGCAGCCTCCGCGCTCGCACCTGACCATGGAGTGCGCCCTTCTGCTCGCGTGCGCCCTCCGGGCTGCGGGTCCCGGTCCGCCGTGGGGCCCCGCGGGACTGGGGCGTCTAGCCAAGGCAGGTGCCACCTCCGAGGGGCGCGCCGCACAGCGGGGACCCGGGAGGCGCCTGCCCCGCGGCGCTGCTCACGCGCGGGTGTCGCCTTTTTCTCTTGCAGGCGCTCCAGCTGTGCTGCTTCTGTTTTGCCTGGGTCGCCGCCACCTTAGCCAGTGACAGTGACAGCGGCAGCGGTGGCAGCGGATTAAACTATGGTTCGTATTGGCCCTCTCTCCCTCCCCTCAAGAAGGGCTTTTTCCAGGCACTCTATCCTCTTTGTCTTCGAGAGAGATAAAAGATAGACAAAGCGCATCTCCTAACCTGGCAGGTGTGTGCTGCCTGGGACCAGGTTCTGTAGTGGGAGAGGGGGGATTGGGAGAGTGGGGGATAGAGCCAAGTCTGTGAACTTATCAGAAAATCGGTGCCTGAAGGGGCAAGTCGCATAGATGAGAAAATACTTTGCCTTCACAGATGGCTTGTTAAGAAAAATAATCTGAACTGCAGCGAGGAATTAAAAAGGAAGTGGGCACCGGCTAGGGAAGTGATAATCAGGGGCTCCTTATTTCCTTCCTCCCCTGGGAAGCCGCGGCAACTGATTTTTGAAAGAGGGCTTCCTTCCCACCGCCCCCTTCTCATCACCCCCGTGTTTCATGAATGCCCAAAGATAACTTTTAGTGGAAAGTGGTGGTTCAAAGTGTTGGAGTCCTGTCTCCTGAAGTTCCCCCTGCCTCAAACTTGAAGAACACCCTTCACTCCCATCTTCCGAGTGCTGCCCAGAATGGAAACCCTTGTTTTCACTGTTTACCACCAGCTGCAGGTGAACAGCTGATATTTGCCCTGGCCTAACCCAACCCCAACCCCAACCCTAACCCAACCTGGGTTTCTTGGGATTCTAAAATTTTCATTTTTGTAGGATGGATTCTTCTTGCCAGGGTGCAAAAGGGGTCATGTTGGGACTGGGAGATCCTGGAATTATGCACGAGGGTTTCCAGAGAATTGGGGGCAGGGCTGAGAGGTGAGAGGATAAGAGATCCAGAAATGATCTCTTAAGAAATTCACCATTTATCCAGTCAGAGCCTGTAGTTTCTAAAGTCGTCCCTTCTTGTTCCACCTGGATGTAATGGCTAAGGATCCCTTCTGTCCTAGCCATAGACTGGAAACACCACTTGGGTTTGTTATTGTGGTTTCTGGTTTAATTTTGAGACAGGGTCTCACATAGCCCAGGTTGGCCTCCAGCTATATAAATGAGGATGACTTTGAACTGCTGATCCTCCTGCCCCCACCTCCCTAGTACTAGTTTTACAGGCAAGTGCCAACATAACTAGTTTATACAATGATGAGGATTGGCCCTAGGGCCTGGTCGCCTTGCATGTTAGGCAAGCACTCTACCAACTGAGCTGCCTCTCCTGCCCCTAGAAGGGCCATCTTTAGCCAAATGAACTGATAAATCATACTTTACAGGGTGCCTTGCACTACCCCCTTTCCCAACAAGGACTGAATGTAACTAACAGCCTGCTTGTCCTTCCCTAAGAAGCAAACATTAGCAGGTATCTGGGGCAGTGTGGGTGGGGGAGGTGGTGGCTGGATAAGGCTTTCACAGTTTGAGGTGATTTTGAACAAGGGGGTAAGAGACAACTTGGTGTAGAAACTGTCTGGACCTTATGTTAGAGGTGGCTATTAGATAGTCAGATGTGACTTTGGTAGAGGGAGAAAATGGATTTTCTCTTTAAAAAAAAAAAAAAAAAGCCTGCATTTAATCAAAAGCCACATACCTACAAAGCAACATATCAGAGATTTGTAAGAGAAACAAAATGTGTCCTACTCAGAGATTTAAGGGTAAAGGAAGGGAAAATGTGGTTTTCTTTACCCCCCCCCTTTCATTTTCTGAAAAAAAAAAAAAAGCATGTCAATTTTATGACATTTCTAGTTTAGAGAAAAGAGAAAAATGGAGTTCGGAATGAAGAACTTAAGAGTTGCCCAGACCTTAAAAGTCACAAATGGTTTTAGCACAGAAGGAAACTGGGAGAGTTGTTGTCATTTTGGGGTTTCTTCCCAGATGTGAGCTTAATTAGAATCTAATTAGTCTATCATGTACTGATGCCTGCATGTTGAAGGACTTCTGGATTCCTTGGTGTTTAGAGTTTTTTTCATTTTATTGTTGTTGACTGTTTGGGGAAGGGAAATTCCTTTTTTTTTTTTTTTTTTCTCTCTCCTCTGAGCCAAGGACCCAAGTGACTCAGGCATGCCTCTTAGTCGTTTGGAATCTCTAAACACTTTCCAAATTAGTTTCCCATTCTGTGCCTCGAAAGTGGAAAGACAAACTTTTTTTCTAATGCACACAGGGCATGTTCCACATCATTTTGTGGGATGATGCTTTTCAGTTTCAATGTTTTGTGAAAGGAAGCAGTGTGCTGGCTTTGCTCTTTCAAACAGCAAATTGTTTCCTAGCTCCCCCACCCCTCTCTGGAAAACGTAGCTAGATTAGAGCTGCTCTGAGGAGCCATGGGGAAGGCATTTTTAAACACGCCTTTCCAGGTGTCCCCTGATCCACCACGCCCCCTCCGACATGTCTGAGCAGTTTTCAGCATCAGACTCTATCTAGGATGCTGATGATTTTGAGGCATTTTTCGCTGAAGATGTTGTATTTTAGGCCTCTGGTTAGATGGGACTGTCCCCTGTGACAGCTCCGAGTAAAGTGCTAAGGGAGAACCCACATGCAGGAGTTCTGTCATCAGGCGTAAGAGGTTCTGGGATGTGAACCAGCCAGTTATCCCTTGTTAATGAGCTGAGGGATCCACACACCACTTTTGAGTTATTTGCAATTTAAACTCAGGCAGAAAAAATGCTCTCAATCCAACTTAAGCACAAAGCTATTAATCTCCTGGAAGAAAAGTTCCCACTTACTAATCTTTGTACTTTTATATATATATATTGATTTATTTTTTGTCTCCAAAATATTTTTTTTAAATGCTGACACATGACTCTATGGCCAATGTAAGGGGCCACATATTTCTTTTTCTTTCTAGGCTCTGAGTTGTGACCTACCCCCCCCCAATATTCTTAAAACTTATCAAAAGTTGCATTTCATTTTCTGTTTCTGTAGGATTTGTTGTTGCCCCCTCCCTTTTTTTCAGTGCTAGAGATAGAATCCCCAGCCTTGTGATTGTGAGGCTAGTTATGTACCATTGAGCCACATCCCCAGCCTTAGCCTCTACAGCAGTTAAGGTGGCAGAGCCTGGTTGTAGGGAATGCAAGGCACATGAGCCACTGTGAATTCCACTCAGTATAGGTACCAATAGGTTTCTGTGATCTGTCTACTGGCTTCGGCCAGCATGTAGAAAGTAACCCTGTGGCATCATGGAATCTGGTTGCTGACAGCTAAACTTTCCCCCCTTGCAGATTATGCCTTCGTCACACCAGTAGAAGTGGACTCAGGTGGGTCATACATCTCACACGACATTTTGCACAGCAGCAGGAAAAGGCGATCTGTGCACGGTGCCAGCAGCTCCCTGCACTACCGATTTTCAGCATTTGGACAGGAACTCCACTTAGAACTTCAGCCCTCGGCGATTTTGAGCAGTCACTTTATGGTCCAGGTACTTGGAAAAGATGGTCCTTTAGAGACCCAGGAGCCCGAGGTGCAGCGCTGTTTCTATCAGGGATTTATCAGAAATGACAGTTCATCTTCTGTTGCCGTGTCTACGTGTGCTGGCTTGGTAAGTCTGCCCCAGTCTAGTAGAGCTGAGCTTTTGTGTTTCTTAGAACTTGAATGAGCAGATGTCTGCAATATTAAGCTCTCTTCCAGCCAACTCCACACATTTATACTGTCAGCTTTGATATTTATAATCTCAATTGAATTAATCTAATCTGCTTTCTGAACAAGAGAAAATATAATGGAACTTTAGCTTAGAACATTCTTTTGATTTTTTAATGGTCTGGGTCCTTTCATTCTCCATGTTTGAGATGATCTCCCCAAGGATATTAATTTGATGGATGCCATTCGCTTTGCTAAGTCTTGGGAGACCAGGCATTCTACGAATCTAGCAGGCTACATGCATCTACATTACTTTGAAAAGGGAAAACTGTATTCCATCTAAAACTGTATTCAGCAGCAGTGGTAAGCCCCACCTTCAACTTGACTGAAGGGAGGTCTTTTTGTTTTCATTGAAGAAATGCGTTGATGTTATCCTGCTTATAGAAGACATCCCCTTTGTGGTCTGATGTGTTTGTGGGCTGTAAGGATAACGTGTCGCATCCATGGAGGCAGGACACATAAAAGCCCTTGGAACAAGTGTCATTTCCTTTCTGTGTAATCTTTATGTGTTGAGTACCAGGCCACGAATATCTGTGTAAATGGTACTTGGGATCCAATCAGATATGAGGCAGCGGTAAATGACATCCTAGGCTTTGATTTTTTTGTTGCAATGGAAAATGTCTCAGATTGACAGAGTTGGCATGAGAGACACGTGATGATCATGTTGTGCCATGGCCAGAAGAGTGAAAAAGTGACAAGCCTAATTGAGAGTCGGCTTCTGATGTGCGGACAGTATGCTACAGGGCTAGGCAGGAGGCAGGCTTGCAGGGAGGGAGGGTGACCGAGGGCTCGCGTATTTTCTGGTTAAGATTTTTAGTTACAACTTTTTTTCATAGTGTATCTTGGAATCCAGCCAGAACCCTAACCACAGTCACTATGTTCTTTAGTGTATTTAAATTATAAAATAAAGCAGAGATTTAACAACTTCCAACTAGGCTGATGCATTTGAATGATAACTCTGGCTCACCAATGCCCTGTGCTTTATGACATGGCTACACACATGCATATGCACACGTGCATGAACTCACCTTGGCTGCTGTTTGCCTCATTGTGGAGAGTCTTCTGCTGGTTTTTGGCATTACCTTTGTATTTTCCTTTTCTCTTGACTATTCTAATAGTCCAAAGTCCCCACGAGTTAGGCATGCCACTGTGTCTTCTCCCGTGTACTCACCGTTGACAGCAGTGAGCCCAGTTTCTGATCTCACACCAGCACTTACTAATGGGGCTTTCTATGTATTTAGTTCCCTCATCTCTAAAAATGGAACTAGGGCCAGTAAGGGGGCTCAGCGGGTAAAGGCCCTGCTACCAAGCCTGATGACTTGAGTTTAATCCCTGTGATCCACATGACTCCCACACACTGACATACATCGTCAGACATCCACACATGCATACAAAATAAATAAAATGTAATCATAATGGGAATAACAGAAGAGATTGTATCCCAGGCCTGCAGAGGGGAAGTAACATGTGGAAAGTGCTCCAGCAATTCCTGGTTCTCTAGTTTTTCTCTTTCTCACAAAACTTACCCTGTCACCGTGCTGAGTACCCAGAATTCTGCTCTCTGGGAGTGACAGGAAATCTAATTAGTTGTCTCATTAATGGATGGTAGGTTATTCTTCCTGAGTTTCACTTTTGAACAGAGAGAAATTACTACCTAAGGCAGAAGAAAAGATAGAAAAGGCAGATTTTCCTGTCTTTCACAGTTGTGAAAAAAGCAATTGATATGCTAGTTGGCTTCCTGGGAGGCTCAGGGTGTCTACTTTTCCACAAGTCAGGTGTGTGGTCTTAGACATCTCTGGGACTCATTTTGCTCTTGGGAGCCATGAGAGATGATTTCTAAGATCATTACCATCTGATTCTGATTATCTGTTATATCGACACTGGTAGAGCCTAGTTGGTGAGGGGTAGGGAAGTAAGTTTATCTTTACTCTGTTACCCTTCCTCTCCATTCACCCATCAAACAGCTGTGAAATGCATAAAAGCATACTCAGTAAAACAGTAAGAAATACAATGAGAAAAGACAGAACTCCAACTAGCAAATGCTGACCCTGCCCTGTATTAATTTTTATTATCTTGTGTTGAAACATATCGATACAAAACTGTTTAAACTGTACGTGTAGAAAAAATTGTAACAGGAACTGGAGTGATGGCTCAGTGGTTAAGAGCACTGGCTGCTCTTGCAGAGGACCTGAGTTTGATTCCCAGCACCCACATGGCAGCTAACAACTGTTGAACTCCAGGGAAATCCAATGCCCTCTTCTGAACTCCACAGGCATTGCACGACATGGATGCAATTACACACATGCAGACAATACACTCATACCTGTCAAATAAAAGTAATAAATAAAATATTTTTTAAAATTGTAACAGTAAAACTTGATTAATTTTCCCAAAGTTTCCACCCATACATATGAGTCCAGATCAAATGGAACATTATTTGATTAGTGCCTTTAGAGACCCTCAATTTTTCCCTCCTTCACTACCCACCAGAGGTTACCATTGCCCAAACTTACAACATCCTTTATGTATGCTATTTAAAATTATTGCCCAGTAATCATAATATATTTCTCAGTATGAAGATTCTGTAATGGTTCCATGGTAGTATTTAATTACTGTTCAGTTGAATATAAACTAAGAATAAAGTTGTTGTGTATGGGGTAGGCATGGGTTTAGTTTTAGTAGGTATTACCAACCAGCTTTGCTAATGTACACTTCTGTCAGTCGTGTATGAGAAATTTTCCCTTGTTTCACATTTTCACCAGGACTTGATACTGTTTGCCTTTTCTGTGTTAGTCATTTGATGAGTATGAAGTGGGTGCCACCTGATAGCCTTCATATCATTCTGAGGCTTAATGAGGTTCAGTACCACCCCTTTACTTTAGCTTATTAGTTATTTATATACTTTGTGATCTCTCCACTATATATGGATAAAACGTTGCATGCATGCTTCAACCCAAATTGTGGTGTTTGTTCCTTTTTCAGTGGCCAGTAACAAGACTGTCAATTTCATATCCTCTTCCCTATGGCTATTGATCTCCAGCAACATCTATTTGATTTTGAAAAAGCAAGTCATGTGAAAAATCTGTTGTGCAGGTCTGCCTTATGGAAGAATTAAGGTTGTCTTTACTTTTCAACAAGCCAAGTGTATGGACTTAGCTTGACCTCTCTGGGCCTTGTTTCCATTTTTGAGTCTGAGCTGATTTCCTAGCCCATTGTCATCTCTAGGCATATGACTCTGATTTATCTAATTTGTTGACAGTGGAAGAGTCTGTTTGGCAAGGGGTAGGGAGAAAATCAGTTCATCTTAACTCTGTTCCGTCCCTTTCCATTCTCCCAGCCAACAACTGGGAGATACACTTAAGGTTTTATGTTGAGGGAACGTTTCATTAGGAACACTGGGAGATGACGTAGAGAATGGGCAAAGTCTTCCATTTTCTACCTACCTATAGACATCACTCAGCTTCTTGGGCCAAGCAGGAGGTTCATAACTCCTCTAATTAGAGTTAATTAGCAACCACACTCATGGATTCAGAACAGTGCAGATGATCCAGGAGTTCAAGAGAAGAACATGGGTCTAAGAGGCTCATCAGAGTGACTGGTCAAAAAGTTAGCATGCAAGAAGAGATGGACAGTTCATCTGTTAACGCAGAAACAGACAGGAGATGGATGAGTTTGAGATTGAAGGCCCTCATGGGATGCTTCTATCTCAGAATTTCCCCAAGATTCGGGCCGGATCACTGGCTTCAGGATCCATTTAGATTTGATCACCATCTCCCAGTATTTTTGCAGCATGTATTAGGAAATGAATCCATCACCTTTCAGTGATTTGGCGGAGCACCCAGTGGGAAAGTGAACCACTGCTTTGGCTGCCAGGGAACCCTCTAAAGAAAATGGGACAAGGTAGAACAGAGCACTAAAATACAACTGTGCTTCCTGAAAGCAGGCATACACCCTGTAGCTGGAATTTTTCTAGCAGGGATTTCCCTGAATAATTCAAAATTACCTACGTTTGTAATACTTTCTTAGAATGTACTGTGAAAGGGGCTGGAGAGATGGCTCAGTAGTTAAGAACACTGGCTGTTCTTGCAGAGGATCCAGGTTCGAATCCCAGCACCCACATGACAGCTAACAACTGTCCGTAACTCCAGTTCTAGGGGATCTGACGCCCTCCTCTGACCTCCATGGGTGCTGCACGACACGGGTGCGCTTACATACAGGCGATACACATATACACATAAAATTATTAAATAAAATATTTTTTGAAAAAAGAATGTACTGTGAACCTACCACCTCAAGCTGACAGATCTCACTTTTTTAAGGAGTGGGTTGTTCCTTGTAATAGTTCACAAAACAGAAGTGAGTCTGCCTACCATTGTTTTGAATCTCCAAAAGATGGAATCTATACTGGTTTGCATATGGCCCAAAGACTGTGTCTGTAGGTGACTGCATTTTAATGCTGAATGCCTTTTACAGATCACTCCTGCCCCTTCCACCTGCTGACCTTGAAGGCGGTGAAGGTGTTTGGCTTCATCCTAGAATCTCAGGATTACAGATTAACCTGGCCCATCACTGCCGGTCCTATCTGTCTTTTCTATGTATGCAGTCTCCCCAACAACCCACAGCAATGTGAAAGAAGGTCATTACACCCAGCAAACCTAGGTTGCTGGAGGGAGACCTCACCTTCTGCAGAACTGCAACCAACTTCAGATTTCCAACTGCATTCCTTTAGTTTTATTTCCTGTCAGACAAACCTGTGCCTTTCTTCTGAAAGATTTTATTGGTTTAAAATATTCTACCTCAGTGACCTGTTGAGACTGAGTTCTCAGAAGAGTGTGATCAACTCCTTTAGCTTCATTTAAGGGACTGAAAATATAGACTCCTTGTCTTGGAACTGAAAGTTTG